AAAAAAAAAAAAAAATTGGACTCTGGGAGGCAGAAGATCCCTCAGTGGTCACCCTGTCTGACCTGTGTAGCCACACCGGAATCCCCTAACATCCCTGACTGACAGTCAGACAGCCTTGTCTTGTGCATCAACTCAGAACCTTCCAAACGTGCCTGATCGTATGAACCACCAGTAGCACTTGTAAAAAGTATATAGCCCACGAACTATTCAAAGCTACACAAAATCAAAACCTGCACAGAAGGGGCCTGTGAACCCAAATCGTAACAAGCATCCCTAGTGAGTCCTACAGTTAAGCATGTTTCTTATGTGCATGTAATGCAGTGGTTCTTGACAGTAGCTGCATCTGAGAATCAGCTAGGAAGCTTTAAAAAAAAATCAATGACAGGGCTTTACCCCTAGCTATTCCTATTTAATTTGTCTGGAGTAGAGCCCAGGAGGTGTAAATGTTTAAAGCTACTAGCTGATTCTAATCTGCAGCCAGGGTTGAGAACAACCGTAATATCTTCCCAACCCGATGGTAAGCTCTTTGAATCCAGCAACCAAGGAATCTATACCTCTTAGTACCCCTTACCCAACCCCACCATCGTGTTGTACCTGCTGTAAAACACAGTCTATCACTACTAAGTTGATCTCATTTAACTAGCTTTGCTCACCCATCCAATGGGATGCAATTTCCTAACTCTGCTAAGAAGCTGAGTGCTTCCACTCAGCAAGAGGCCAGACAATAGGAGGATATGAAGTGCTACGACTTCTCACAGTTGAGTCTGTGCACACACACGCGCATGCGCACACACACTCACACATACACACACAGCCCTCCCCTACCCCAGAATAACCAGCCCAAACAATGCCAGAAGCCTCATTCCAGGGTTCTTCCCTCTTGCTGCAGCCCTCTGCCAGCTCTACTCACATTGTACAGCACGGTGGTCCACCCTTCCATGGTGATGCATTGGAAGACAGTCAGCACAGCAAAAAGGATGTTATCAAACTGGGTGATCCCATCATTGGGGCCAATCCAGTCCCGGCACTCATAACCAGCTGGGCAGCCCTGCACACCACATGGGTGAGGGGGGTCAAATCCTTCCAGAATACCTGCAGACACATTTGGAGGGCAGGAGATAAACCACATGGTGTTTAGCATGATCTGGAAGGACTCCAGGAAGCCACAAACACTCAATTCTATTTCCCCCAGAAAACTGTGTCCTTCTTTCTCTCAAGCTCCCTCCCGCCTCTGGCCTCTCTCCACCTCACAGCTCACATACCACAAGCTCATCCCAGTGCTTCCCAACCTCCTCTGACCATGGAGCCTCTCCTTCCCATGGCCCTCACTTTCTGCAGGCCACATTCTCTACCCTCGCCTGAGTCCCACAGGAAATGACAGACTGGATCACACAGAACAGTCTGAGGTGAAGGCAGAATCTTACTGAGTTTCTAACTTCAGACTGTAGTATAGACTCTGAGATTTTCCTGAGTTTCTTGGGGACAATTATAAACTACAGTCCCTTCACAGTGGGTCTCAACTCCTTGTTCCTCTGGCCTAAATTCCTGGTCTTGAATAAGACAATCAATCAATCAATAAAATAAAACTCCAAAGTGGAAGGTGTCCTTTGAAGATGCTTTAAAACAACATAAACCTTATACTAAATTGGACTTCTTCAACATCTCCCTGACCCCCTTTCCTGCTAGGGTGTTCTACTCAACTTGAACAAATAAGATACAAAGAGATAAGAACCTGGGGTCTGTGAACACCACAAATCTCCCAAGCACCCTGGCAAGCCAAGCTCAGAGCTCCCTCAGCCCTTCTACACTGCCTGTGGGGCACATATCCATCTTGCTTTCTCAATAATCTATCAAAGCAGAGAAGGAGGAAGGTCACAAGATGAATCATGAGGGAAAATGTCTCCAAAGATCTAGAGAGACCCAAATCTGACTCTGGACTCCTGGATCTCCTTGGCCTGTGGGCCAAAGAAGACACTGCACAAAGAGTAGTTCTTCAGACAGGCGGTTTTTGACACGCATTCTGACAACCTTCTACCATGGGATGGGGGAGCTGGGACCTCCTGTTTGAAATCCTCTGACTGCAAACGTAAGAAGTCATTTGCTTTGCAATATCAGTGTCCAATGGGGACCTTTATTCTAGGCTGTTTGTGCCTCAAAAAGCAAACTTTGGGACAGAATATTCTCTTCCAACCAGTCTCCCAATGACCTGAAATTACTCCAGTGACCAGAGGGGAGAGGAAGGGAAGAAGTAGAAGGCAAGAAACAATGACCCTACCTGAATTGTTCGTGAAACATGCACGGTGTAACTTCCCACTGTAGAACTCCAAGCCAATGATAGCAAACATCAGGATGGCAAAGAAGAGCAGAAGACCAATTTGCAGAAGAGGCACCATGGCCTTCATGATGGACTTCAGCACAATCTGCAGGCCTAGAAGGAAAGGAAGAGAATGACAAATGGAGCCTCCCTGGGCACCATTTGATACAGCAGGCTCCCTTTACCTTCTCCTAAGAGGAGAAGGACAAGTCTTTGAGGGAAAAGAACCATTGGTCCCGAGGTGATGAAGAATATTTGCAAAGGGACAACCAGAACAAGTCAAGCCAAAGACTGCCATCACTACTACCCCTGGAATCAATCTCATGCTCCTTCTCACTATTCTCTGATCATTCACATGCCTATTACTCCTTCTTTTTTTTGTTTCATCCATGTTGCCTTCTGCTTATCTTTTACAAACTTATGTGAACGTGCTTCTTTCCTAAAGGAAATTAAGCCTGGCCCTGCTAGGTTCTAAGTCCTATGAGAGCAAGGACAGAGTTTACCTCCCCCACTACTATATCAGAATTGTATTTTTGAAGAATTTTAATGTCAGGAAAATCAAATGCTTCCGTGACAGGGTCCAAAAGTATACACCAAGTATGATCAAATTATATTAAAACACACAGGAAAAAATGCATAAAAATATAGGATAATGAGTGTTTTTCCTTTTCATTTTATAACATTTTTTTTTACTTTGCAAAGATTCTACAAAGATCTTTCATTATCTTTAAAATCTGAAAAAAAAGTTGCTAGATTTTAAAGTAAAATGTTATGCCAGATTGCTGCATCCCCACTCTTTATTACCACTGGAGAAATTGTTTCTTGTTTATCCCAAATTCCTTTGGCCCCAGATCCTGCAGGGACACATCAGTAAAGCTACAGCAGAGGAGAAAGAAGAAAGGCAGGTGCTCACTAGGTATGCCTGACACGAGCTTCAGGGGTCTCAGGACACGCACAGCCCGGAGGGTCCTCAGGTCCACATGTGTGTTGAAGTGGGTTCCTGCTGTGGCCAGGATGCTGCAGATGGAGACACAGAAGGTCAAGGTTACCGCAGTCTGGCTTTCTCCCCCTGTTCCAAGGGGGAAGCCGGGTTGAAGAAGGCTCAGCCTGGAAAGCACACAGAGCTGATGCCAGTTGCATGTGGGAGCACCTGAGCTTGGGCGAGTCATCGGTGGTTCTGATTGGAATTAAATTTAGCCGTATCTGGGTTTCACTTTGCAAAGAAGGAAAACTTACCATCACACCAGAATCCTAGTTCCAAACCATGAGTAGAATACCAGCTCCCCAGCATCGGTCCCATTCCTGCCTCCAAACCTTGGTCCCTACTCTCCTCGCTATTTCTCACCAACCTCCTTTCCCTCTTTCCAACCTACCAAGGCCCCTGGATTTTGTATTTCAGAATTTTCTTAGATTCCCCTGTCTCCTAACTCCTTTAGGGAATTTCTCTGGATCAGGTGCAGTAAAGGAGTAACTCATTCTTCCCCACCTTGGCACTTAAGAGTTTTTACCAAACAAATCAATCACACTGATGCATATAAATTAGGGAATAACTTCACTGGTCCACATACAGCACTTTTATAATTGCTCCAAATCACTGTATAACTTGGATTTTGTTTCTTTGCTTCCATTTTTCCACTTCCACAGACACACACACACACACACACACACACACACACAAACCCCCCAAAATCCGTAACAATCCTATTAGATTGTGTACACCAAGTACCTTGTCTTCAGGAGACAATTTATTTCATAGAATCCCATGACACTGCAGGTACTGCGGATAGTCAATGATACTTAAGGATTAATGGAAAACACAGCAGATGACCAAGAGCCAGCAGAGCTGGGATTCAGTTGTGACTCAAGCACTTGAGAACTGAGTGATCTGAGGCAAGTTACACACTCCAGCAGCCTCACTACCCTCAGCTACAAAATGGGGGGAGTACCAGGACCTTGCTATAAAAATAAAATGACATGGTACTGAATATTAGGAGTATTCTAGAAGTTATAATGTGCAAACTAGATAATACATCCAACACAAATATTAATAGTACAGTTTTTGCAACTTTGTCTAATGTTAGTCTTCCTTCTGTGGAACAGTACTTGAACTCCCTCATAACCTCTCCATGAGAATTTCAGCTATCTGGAGCCACTGGTGAGTGAGTCATTCAGAAAACCAAGTTTTCTATATAGTCAAAGGGTGGTGGGAATAGTTTATGTCATTTAATTATTTTGGAGGAAACATTTCCTTCAATACTTGAAATCGAACTTGAATGAAAGGTCTGTGCTATATACCTCTAGAAAGCAGATATAGGATCAATAGGTACAAATTGCACAGATCCAGGACATGAGAATCATGAGCAGGGCTGGCCAAGAACAAGGTGGACTGTTTCATGGGGTAGGTCCACTTCGCAACATTAAACATACTCAGCCACAGACTGTAGAACTATCTATCAGGAAGTTAAAAGTGTTCCAACATGGGTTGAAGGTTATCTAAATAACCAGTAGAGATTTCTCCAACTTTAAGACTCTATAATTCTATGTTAACCCAACCTCAAAATAAGAACCAGAAAGAAACCCTACTCTCATAAAGAGTCTCAGGACCCAGGCAAGCTGGTTCTCAGGTCTCCCTCTATCTCTCCTGATCCAAACTTCCACACTGTCTCTGAAAATGGGGGATGTCAACAAGCAGGGTCTCTGATGCTACTTTTGACTCTATCTGCCAAAACCAAAGAGAGAAATTAGGGAGGGGAGCGATATCATTTCCAATAAGTAGGGAAAACCTGAAGAGAAAAGAGAGCAAGGAGAAATGTGGAAAATAGGACTGAAAAATAAAACAGACAAAGAAACAAATAAAGGAAAGCAGAGAAAGAGAAAGCTCAAGGATACTAGAACTAGAACCCCAGGAAAATGGGGTCACTGTTCTGCTGAATCTGCTAACAGGGAAAGAAGCACTGTATTCTCAGTCTTCTGAGGTGCAGTGCCCATGGGAGATGCCTTTCCCTCCGGTTCGTGCTGTTTTACACACACACACGGTGGGGAGACTCTGCCCTGTTCAGAAATCAGAGTTCTGTTTCCTAGGATACCCAGATACACATGAGATGCTCTTTCAAGTCCTAAAAAAGAGCTATTGAAAAGGAAAATCCTTCCCAAACCTGAGTTGAAGGAGGGATATTTCAGAACATGGAGGTAGGGTCCAAAAGACAAAATTGAAATGCAAGAAGGCACAAGTGTACAGAGAAAGAAAAATGGTTGAGGGGAAAAAGAATGAGAGGACAGGGAAGCAAATGGTGAAAGGAAACATGGAGATGAAAACCGGAAAGAAGTAAGAAATAAGAGCTGGTGGAGAAGCAAATGTGAGAGAAATAAGAATTCTCATGTGGGAAAGAGAACAAAAGTGAAGCCAATTTGAAGGAGAGAAGCAAAAATATGGCACTTGTGGCTGGGGCCACAAGACATGTCCATCCTCTTTTCACCAACCTGTCCCCCAAGTTAACCAAGCTGCCTCAAACTTCAGCCAGGACCACGCCCCCTGGGGCCCCATGCTCCCCTAGCCCTCAGAACTTTCTTTTCCTTCATCCCATGCAGAATATCCCATGTATATCCCTAGTGTTCACATCATGTTTGAGGACAGGAGGTCCCATCCACTTGCTAGAAGCAGGGACAGTGTATTCTTCGGGGGGAAGGATAATGGAGGGAACGGGCCCTGCTGTGTGCCCCCATAAAATTCTGTGCCCACTGCCATCCCTGCCCTGCCCACATCTTGGAGGAATTCTGTTTTCTCTGGTTTCTCCTCTGTCTCTCCCACAAGATCCGGAACACCTCAAGCAGAGATGCCGTCTTCCCCATCTCTACATCCCCCACACCTAGCCCAGGCTCTGGCAAGTAAAAGGTGCTCGGTAAATGCTTGGTGGATCGAACTGCACTGAGGAAAGTAGTCAATGTGTTGAAGCAGGAATCAAATGGACAGAAATATCACAGAAACCCTAGAATTTACCAATGGAAAGGGCAGGTGGCACCGTCGGATACTACTCAAACACACACCTGTTTGAGCGCACAGGAGCGTACTAGAAATCTGTCCTCAAACATTTTAGAGTCTAATGAGCTTCTAATATCGTATAGGACTCCTGCTCTCAAGCAGATCCCATAGGACGGGATCTGCTCTGTCTTCAGCAGGAGAGTTAAGAGGGAGGAAGGGAAGGAAGAAGCCTCCAAATGTGAAGACTTGCCCTTTAGCAAAGCCACAGTACTGAAGTCTGTAGAGCTCAGCAAAACTCTGGGCCTCACACAGAGCAGGCCTGATGCGGGAGTCTCAAGGCCAAGTGCACAGCAGGAAAAGGCCCAGGCCCTCACTCTAGCAAAAGCAGACAGACAGAGAAATGAAATAATTATAATTCACAATGAAGAATGTCTTAAGAGGGATGCTTACAAAGCGCTCCGAGAATGGGACACACTGCAGGATCACCTACGGGGCTTACTATCTGCTAGCATTTTCACCTAAGTTATTTCATTAAATCCTCAAATATATCCTGATATTACGACTGTTTCCATTTCATAGGAGAGGAAATCGGTACTTAGAAACAATTAAACTGCTAATACACGTCCAGAGCATGTATTAAAGTCCTTCCTCTTCTGGTATCGAAGTCCAGCCTTTCCCCAGTCTGCCAGCATGCCGTGCAGTCTTTTCTAGCACAGCACAGCTCCACTGGTCCTCAGCCCAGTGTGCTGCCAAAAATACCAAGGTCACAGTGTTTAGTCTCCCAAAAAGCCAGTGAGCTTGGTTCCCTTGATCCTCAAGCCACAAATCACTAAGTCCCACAGACTTGCCACTGACAGCTCTCCAGACCAGCAGGTTGGAGGCTCCTTACACCTGAGGTCACAGCTGATGTAATATCTACATGTGCGCGCGCGCGCACACACACACACACACACACGGAGAGACACGCATGCCACAGGATCAGAGTGAGGCCACTGCGCAAAATTCCAATTCTGAGTAATAAAAGCCTGAGTTCTGCATCATCCCGTGCCCCATTTGCATATACTCTTCAGAAACAGAGGCTGTGCTTTCCAGTTCTTTTGTCCTCAAGGTGGGGAGCTCTGTACACAGAGGGTTCTTAATTACTACTTTACCCCCAGAGCGGAGGACAGACATGAACTTCTGAGCACCACCAGCAGAAACGGAGGGTTTGGTGCACTGTATATGTTCAAAACCTGTTTCCTCATGGATGTCATGGCTCATCCCTACTTCTAATACTTCTGCCCTGAGCTGTCAGCAGGTAAGAAGAGCCTAGAGGCTGATATGATCCTGAAGGTGTGGTGGGATGTCACTGCAGTGGCAGGAGATGGAAGGGATGCTCTGAGCCATCACAACCAAATGGTCTCTCCCCAAGTCAATCACCCAAAGAATTCTCCCACTCAAAGAATTCCTTTTGACCTTGGGGTTCTGTCTTAGCCTCTTCATCAACCCAAGTCTAACAGTCTCTTTTCACACTTCCATGGCTAAAAATTCCCTGAAGCATTATGCAAATATTACACCAAAATATTATCTGTTGCTTATCTGCAATTCAGATTTAACTGGGCATTTTGTATTTTTATTTGCTAAATCTGGCAACTCTATTCAAGGGATAACCAGGTAAATAGTCCCTCCTAGTTGTTGCCCTAGCCCTAAACAAACGTGTAAGTTCTCTTTTGAAGAAGAGACACAAACCAGGATCCCCTGCCCTTAGGCCCAGGAGTCCCTCCTGAGCTCCAAAAAGTATCTCTTTGCTTCTGCCCATATAAATCCCAAGGGAGAAGCTCATTAGCATTCAAAAGGCAAGTTATTCATTAGCATCTGTGCAAAAGGGCTGATTAACAGGAGCAAAGGGTGTTAGGTGTTTAACCAGCCCATATTACAGGAGACCAAGAGGAGACAGGGAGGGACCTAATTCAAGTTGGATTCCCTACACAGATTTGAGCCAGGATATCATTTCCATGGGTAATCCAAAATGAGTTGTTGTGTCCACTTATAAGTGTTT